ACTTAGCAAAACGTAAATCCGTACACTTCATCCCAGTGAAACTGTCGACCGGCGGTAGAGAACACGGACCAATATCTGCCATACTTAGCGAGAAACCCGCTATGGGCCCATGACCCGCAGTGGGCTCGCTGCCCCATGTTACCCTACTAATTCCTGCTGAAAATTTAAAATATACAATTTTCTCCCTCCAGGATGGTGGATCGTCCTGAACCCTATACTCCGAACCGTGGCATTCCAGTTGGGTCATCTTAAATACAATTGCATGGGCTGTCCCATGAAGTTTGTTTCGATTCAAGCTTTTTTTTGTAGTCCTAATCACCCGGCTAAACATTAAGTGATTCAGCTTCTGTTATAGTAATAAACTTTTTTGATTTCAATTATTGAAGTCTTTTCAATAACCTTGATGTAAAACGGAAGTCATTGAATAGTTTTTACGTACTTTGATGAAGTTTCATTTTCTATAAAACCTTAGTGGTAAATTTGTATCTACTGCAGAAAATCGGGAGCCTTTTTTGGCAAAAAATGAATATTTGCCAGCTGTCTCTACATTTACATTGCATTTCATCTAGTGTCACTGTGTCAGGCGTATTGTTGGGAGCTTTTCAAGACGGGCCAGTTATGAAGCTATATATACTCAAAATTATGCCCGGACATTTTTGTATCAAACTTCTCAAATGAGCTGTCGTAAATATCTATATCAAGTATACTTCCTCGCGGCATTGATAAAAACTTGCTTTATTCGGAATTTCAAGCAGATCCATTCATAATTGAAATATTTATGATTTTGGTAAATGCGCAGGCAAGTTTGAATCCGCAGGCGAGTTTGCACGCGAGTTCAGAGAGGTTCTAATTCGTTAAATTGAAAATCAAATTATTTTCCAGCTTACCTGTTTTCCATGGTATGAATGCTTTGTTGAGGCAAACGACTGCCAGAGACAAACTAACAGAATATTGCTCAATCTTGGTACGGACGCACATATCTTGGTGAAATATCGCAGAGTCCGGTTCGTGAATTAGAATTGGGTAGTCTAACCCAGCAACCAAACTCACATTTATATGGGGCTTAACACTAAATTTCTAATGACAACGCTGTTCCTGATGGTGTGCCTTCAGATTACGTGAAAAGCCAGTGCGCTTGATGCAGCACTGTAGCTGACACCGAGTGTCAGTCATCTGGGCTCACTCAGGCCCTCGTGCCGACGCGTACCTGCCTGTCACGGCAGTTGATTATTTTCCTATGTGATTAGGTCTTGGTCAATATATGATATATTATGTTGCATGGATTTATTTGTATCCATAAAAATTTGGAGATTGCTTTCGGTGTAGAACATTTAGCTGTATTTGAAACAAAGTCAGAGTATGTATTCAGTGGTTATCTCACGATATATTGTGATGGCTCTCGTTATTGTGCTCCNAGCCCCATCCTACCTGATCATACTTGATAGAATTCAATATGCAGCAAGCCGCATCATATTGGGAGCTTTGCGATGTACGCAAGTCAAATCCCTGGAAGCGGAAGCCAACTTACAACCACTATGCATAAGAAGAAGACATCTCCTAACGGCCTATGCCGCGCGTGTACTGCCCATAAAAAACCACCCAGTACGAACAATGCTATTGCAATACTACCCATTTGAATTTTACAGACACCAAAGAAGAACACTACCTACAATCGGACTAATGCACAATGAATTTATGGCCATAAACCTCACTTACACCTCAATACAGGGGCTGACACCTGAAATGCTTTTCCCCATAACAACCCCCACAATAGACCTAACTCTTCACACATCAAAGAAGGCAGACCTTCCACCCAAGGCATGGCAAGCTTACTTTAGTGACCTCCTGCTCCAGTACCCTACACGCACCCCAGTATTTTGCGATGGCTCAAAGACTGCAGAGCGGACAGCTGCTGGTTCATGGTCCACTGACTTCAATCTCAAGGCACGACTCAATAAAAACAACTCAATCTTCACCGCTGAGCTCTTTGCCATTTTTATCACACTGAAATATCTAGAAAGCAAGGATGGCCTATTCATTCTAGTCTCAGACTCTCTCAGCTCCTTAAAAGCATTACAACATGCACACCCAAAATCTCACTACTTGGTCCTCAAAATCACACACCTCCTAGCTGTCACACCAAACAAATTCATACTAGCATGGGTTCCATCACACATGGGCATAGAAGGAAATGAGCTTGCAGACAAGATTGCCCAAGAGGCCCTATCACTACCACATGCATTGCCCATAACACTCTCAGACCAAGAACTGAAACAGATAATCTCAACACACTATCACTCACAATGGCAACATCAGTGGCAAAACTCCACCGCTAAACTGCTTCCTTACAAAAACACACTTGGCCTATCTCCCTATCTGGACCTCAAACGATCACATCAAGTACCACTGTCACGTCTGCGCCTGGGAGCAACTCGGCTCACCCATGCTCACCTTTTTACGGGACAACAGCCTGCTCACTGCCCCTCCTGTGACCAAAGATGGACTACTGCTCATCTACTACTGGAATGCCCTGTGCTGCAGCAGCCAAGACAGCCCCTGGACCAATACTGCAAAGAGATGAACTGGCCTTTCACACTGACAACCCTACTAAGAGATGATTTTCCAGCTGAGAAACTAGTTACCTTTCTGTCAAAGACGGACATCATCGACAAGCTCTAAAGAACAATACCACAAGCTCTGACCAAAGCACCAGATGCCCAAGAAGGCTGGTGCTAAAAATTCAACGAGATTCAACGAGAGAGGTTCCAATTCGGTAAATTGAACATCAAATTATTTTTCAGCTTTCCTGTCACCCATGGTATGAATGCTTTGTTGAGGCAAATCGACTGCCAGAGACAAACTGACAGAATATTGCGCAATCTTGGTATGGACGCACAATGTTATATAGTTTGGGCAATATATTTGGCTAAACCAAAAGATTGAGCAGCCCTATTGAGCGCCTAGGGACTGCTCAATAGTACAATTACCAAAGCTGTAAATATTATAATTAGTCAGATGGTGAGTTAATGGTGCCTACTGACAGAAATGATGGCAGGAGGAAATTCTCCCAATTGCATTCTTCTAATTCAATTTTCAAGAACTTTCTAAACGAATTTTCAAATATTTTCGACATTTCAAATGATTTGTACCTAGCTTATGAAGTTATGAGTTTTTCTTGATCGTGGTCCGGCGAAACGGTCCGGGCACGGGTTTTAGTTAAGCTGTGGGACGGAGAAAGTCAGTTGCGTTCACGGCGAAAGCACGTGTGTTAAATTGCGTTCTCTAAAGTAACCGGTGATTCATTGTGAGCCAAACTTAATACTTATCATATCCACACCTAATAAATATAATTTTCAGTGAATTCAGTCTGCTCCTGGAAAAACTCAACTGGCTTTCTCCCTCAGAGGTTTGTCAGTCCTTTTTTTTTTTTTTTTTTTTTTTTTTTTTTTTTTTTTTTTTTTTTTTTTTTTTTTTTTTTTTTTTTTTTTTTTTTTTTTTTTTTTTTTTTTTTTTTTTTTTTTTTTTTTTTTTTTTTTTTTTTTTTTTTTTTTTTTTTTTTTTTTTTTTTTTTTTTTTTTTTTTTTTTTTTTTTTTTTTTTTTTTTTTTTTTTTTTTTTTTTTTTTTTTTTTTTTTTTTTTTTTTTTTTTTTTTTTTTTTTTTTTTTTTTTTTTTTTTTTTTTTTTTTTTTTTTTTTTTTTTTTTTTTTTTTTTTTTTTTTTTTTTTTTTTTTTTTTTTTTTTTTTTTTTTTTTTTTTTTTTTTTTTTTTTTTTTTTTTTTTTTTTTTTTTTTTTTTTTTTTTTTTTTTTTTTTTTTTTTTTTTTTTTTTTTTTTTTTTTTTTTTTTTTTTTTTTTTTTTTTTTTTTTTTTTTTTTTTTTTTTTTTTTTTTTTTTTTTTTTTTTTTTTTTTTTTTTTTTTTTTTTTTTTTTTTTTTTTTTTTTTTTTTTTTTTTTTTTTTTTTTTTTTTTTTTTTTTTTTTTTTTTTTTTTTTTTTTTTTTTTTTTTTTTTTTTTTTTTTTTTTTTTTTTTTTTTTTTTTTTTTTTTTTTTTTTTTTTTTTTTTTTTTTTTTTTTTTTTTTTTTTTTTTTTTTTTTTTTTTTTTTTTTTTTTTTTTTTTTTTTTTTTTTTTTTTTTTTTTTTTTTTTTTTTTTTTTTTTTTTTTTTTTTTTTTTTTTTTTTTTTTTTTTTTTTTTTTTTTTTTTTTTTTTTTTTTTTTTTTTTTTTTTTTTTTTTTTTTTTTTTTTTTTTTTTTTTTTTTTTTTTTTTTTTTTTTTTTTTTTTTTTTTTTTTTTTTTTTTTTTTTTTTTTTTTTTTTTTTTTTTTTTTTTTTTTTTTTTTTTTTTTTTTTTTTTTTTTTTTTTTTTTTTTTTTTTTTTTTTTTTTTTTTTTTTTTTTTTTTTTTTTTTTTTTTTTTTTTTTTTTTTTTTTTTTTTTTTTTTTTTTTTTTTTTTTTTTTTTTTTTTTTTTTTTTTTTTTTTTTTTTTTTTTTTTTTTTTTTTTTTTTTTTTTTTTTTTTTTTTTTTTTTTTTTTTTTTTTTTTTTTTTTTTTTTTTTTTTTTTTTTTTTTTTTTTTTTTTTTTTTTTTTTTTTTTTTTTTTTTTTTTTTTTTTTTTTTTTTTTTTTTTTTTTTTTTTTTTTTTTTTTTTTTTTTTTTTTTTTTTTTTTTTTTTTTTTTTTTTTTTTTTTTTTTTTTTTTTTTTTTTTTTTTTTTTTTTTTTTTTTTTTTTTTTTTTTTTTTTTTTTTTTTTTTTTTTTTTTTTTTTTTTTTTTTTTTTTTTTTTTTTTTTTTTTTTTTTTTTTTTTTTTTTTTTTTTTTTTTTTTTTTTTTTTTTTTTTTTTTTTTTTTTTTTTTTTTTTTTTTTTTTTTTTTTTTTTTTTTTTTTTTTTTTTTTTTTTTTTTTTTTTTTTTTTTTTTTTTTTTTTTTTTTTTTTTTTTTTTTTTTTTTTTTTTTTTTTTTTTTTTTTTTTTTTTTTTTTTTTTTTTTTTTTTTTTTTTTTTTTTTTTTTTTTTTTTTTTTTTTTTTTTTTTTTTTTTTTTTTTTTTTTTTTTTTTTTTTTTTTTTTTTTTTTTTTTTTTTTTTTTTTTTTTTTTTTTTTTTTTTTTTTTTTTTTTTTTTTTTTTTTTTTTTTTTTTTTTTTTTTTTTTTTTTTTTTTTTNCTGGGGTGAAGGCCCACCTGGCCCGTTTCAACATGGCTAATTCTAGCATCTGCCCCGAGTGCAACACAGAAGACACAATCAGACATTTCATCTTGAGCTGTGCACTTTACACTGACCAGAGGAGGGAGTTTCGCTCAAGTTTGGAAGCTTTATCATTACCTTGGACACTCATCTCGGCTCTTGGTGGGGGAGATATCCCACAACGACGAAGAACTGCTGTAATACGTCATCTTGGACAATACCTGCTGAGATGCAGCATGGTGAATACCCTTTGAACACCCTTTGAAAATACTCAGTGCCTAATTCTCTTGTCTCTTCTACACAATAATCACCGGTTGGTGAGCAACAGAAACCCAAATTGAAAGTAAAGCGGCAAGATAATACAAGTTTTCAACAAAGAGTTGTGCTCAGGCTGGGAGGTGTGATATATTCATACCCGAAGTCTTAAAATCAATTATAAAAAAAAAAAAATAAGCTGTGGGACTGGGCCCCCTCCTAGGCCGTTGTCAACTTGTCGGTTCACGGTCCTGTTGCTGTGTCGCATACATCCCCCAAACGGCCAAACCACCGGAAAGCAATCAGGTCGCCTGACTTCTTCCTGGTGGGATGCAAACTTGTGGAGACTGGAGAGGCAATCAGAAACAGGCGACATGCTCGGAGAGCTCTGGAAAGACGCCCAACGTAGTCAAGCCTCATAGAATAAAAGTGTTGTCAGGACTCAGGCTGTGGCCCGTAATGTTATACTGAATCTAAAAGTGAAAAGTAAACGCTCATGCAAGTTGGAATTTCTTTCCAAAATTACATATACTACTCCTATTGGGTTGGCATGGAGAAAGATATGTTTAATGTGCTGCAGCTGTGTGTGTCATGCATGATGCCTGCAGTCTGCAGAGTGCAGCCTGCTTGTGCTTACCCTTGGGCCTTGGCCTTTGGTAGACCGTAGACGGTGGCACCGTCACCGTGCCACGGTGGTAACTTGAAACTTGCTGCATAGGGCAGGCGGTCTGCCCTATGCTCACCAATCACCATTGGGTCATTTCACGCCAAGTAGCCTAAAATTGAAAAAAATTTCCACAATCATGGTCTCAAATTTTCTTCAAAATTCAACTGTAGCACTAGCCACTAAGCACTAGACACTAGTGAAGTGCTAAACTAAGTTTTCCAAAATATTAGGCCTCTAGCACTAGTCCACTGTGCAGAGAGTGAACGAAGATTTAAAGACCTACGGCGACGCATTATCGGCAAAATTTTCGCCTTCAGAAGATCTTGCCGACACATTTAAGCATTCGCACCTCGTAAATGGCTTTTCATGGCCGAGATATGGAATTCACGGCTCGGTGAAATAGAATCACGGCTCGTAGAAATGGAATCACGGCTGGCAAATCCATAAAACCACGGCTTGAAAAATTCAGTCGCGGCTCGCCAAGTAGATATATTCCATACTAGCTCTAGCAGACTAGCTGCCATAGTTGCTGATCTAGACCCTCTTCAATCTTGTCTGAACTTCTCAGCCTTCTGAAGGGTAGGTATTATTAAGGTATAGCAGCTATAGTCACTATAGCTAGTCAGTCTACGTGCATGCATCTTTGATTTTTGAACAATATGCCATTTTTGGGATCTAATAAAATTGAAACTAATGTATAAAAATGGCTAGCTAATACAATGAGTCAATGAGATCCTGAACAGTTTCTTGTGCTGATTCTGCCAACTTTTAAAATTACTAATGCAATTGCAAAATCCAGCAAAACAAGTCAATTCAAAATGTACCTCAAAATTTGTTGTGGTAATACATTAGATTGAGTGCATCCAAAAAAAAGGTGTTTTTTTTTGTTTAATTATATGTTTTTTGGGGTGTAGATAGAGAATCTGAAATCCGTTTTTGGCGGTTGGCATCCAAAAACCGATTTTTTTCCCCAAGGCTCTAATTTGTAAAAGAAATCAGGCAAAAATTGGCAAAGAAACCTAACCTAACCTAACCTAACCTAACCGTGGTTGCATTACTTGCATAGTGGCAAAGCAGAGGGTTTTTTAAACTCTGTCTCAAGTTCATTTTTGAGTCCTATAAGTAGACCAGTAAAGTATCTGTTAAGTATCATGGATACCAGTATTAGCATACTTAAGAAATTGATTAAAATCTTGAGTAAATGAGGAAATTAAAAATGAACTGATTCTAAAAATCTCTGGTTTGTCACTATGCGTGGTTGCAATGTTGTGCTTGCCTGCAATGTCGTGGTTGCAAGAGTATATACTATATGGGTCACTGAGGCTAAGTTAAAAATGCTATAAATCCACAGATATTGGGGCCAAAATTTAACTTGCATTTATCTTATAAAATATATAAAAATCAGCTTATATAAAATTGGTTTTCTGATGCCGACCGCCAAAAATGGATTTCAGATTCTTTATCTACAGGGACTACACCCCAAAAACATATAATTAAACAAAAATAACACCCTTTTTTTTTTGGATGCACTTAATCTAAAGTAGGTAATACCTTTGTTGTGACTCAACGCAACAACTT